CAGCGGCGGGGCAGCAGTACTGCAATGCAAACTCTTTCCCCACGCTGTGGTCTGGCTCAGAAGCAATCGGTTTTGCTGCGTTTGCCTCCCATCCTCTGAGCAAGCTGGGGGCAGGCGAAGGGGAGCACATGCAATGAGCAAACATGCAACAGTACGATGGAGGCACAGCAGCAATGGGTGACAATGAACTGGGATGCACTGGAGGGCTTTTCATGCGGCCAGAAGACTCGGCAACACACAGATTAATTGTCAAAAAAGCACCACCTTTTTAGGTTTCACTCCACGCTGCATGAAGAGGGAATAAAAGGGTACAAAGTTAGAGCTCACATCATATCAACAGTGGTGATGAGAAGCGATCTGCTTTCTGTTCAAACATCGCAAGTTTCAGAGCTAGCTATTTGTGGAAGAGAACATGTCTCAATAAAGTCATTGGGCTGCAAAAATATGTACAATCGGAAAGAAAAATACATTCAGGTAAATTTAAACAAATGTAAGGTGGCTTAAGAGAGGAAAGCAGACAACAGAGCTTCTTTTCAACCCTCCGATCTACGAGCTTTACTCCAGTGTCATTGATCCACCTTCCATTCCTCCAGCACAAAACCATTTGAGATGCTAGGACATATACAGAGGAAAATAAATTCACTTAATGATAGCCATCAGCACTTGCAAAGAAGAGTTAACCAACATGCTTAGCTGACCGAAACCTGGAATCCCTGGGGAGGAGGGATCCCACCCCAAATCCAGCTCTCATAAATACCACTCACCTCCCACACTGACCCACCTTGGATCAGACACTGCAAAGGGAAGAAGATGCTGTATCCAACTTTTTTTTTTTTTTTTTTAACATTTTTTGTGAGTGCACTTCTGCCACACCTCAGGTCACAAAGATTGCTCACAACTTACAGTAACATGATATTTTGCTTTCAAAATGCAATTCTTGATCACACCAAGGCAAAGCCCTGCATCAGCTGCTGCCCTAAGGGAAAAAATCGCATTTCATCCAAAGCGTGCTGGAAATCTCCTCCAGTTTCTTGCCACTCAGGGCCCCTCTACACGCAGGAAAGAAGCTCTTTTCCCCATTTTCGGAAGTCCCCATGACACAGCCCGGCGGAGCAGAGGTAACACCTTCTCAGGTTCAGCCACGAAGGACTTGGGGTTTGATGCCAGGATCTCCCAGGATGAAGGCGGACAGGATGCCAGGGGACGATGGTCTCAAAGCAGGTACAGGGAGCGGGTCTCTGCCTCGACCGCCGTGCTTGGCACCGGAGCGGTGGTCAAGGCAGGGTCCCACTCCCCGTGCCTGCTTCGAGACCTGCCAGTAGCATCCAGGAAGGGATGGGCTCTCCAGTGCTTTGGGCAGCAATTTGCCCTAGTGTAGGTGGGCTGCGGGGCAATGCTAGGAGAGCAGGAGAACCCAGCCCAGAGTTGGTGGTACCTTTACGCTTTCTTCTTGCAAAGGCAGGTGAACCCGAGCCCAGATCCAGTGATACCTCTATGCCCTCTTCTTGCAGAGCCTTTATCATTTTTGCAATCCATGAGACTCCCTGGCTGCACGGACCAGCCTCATCTGCTCTCCAGCCCACCCAGCTCCCAACAAAACCCGTTCTGACTCTCCTCATTTTTCTCAGATGCCTTTCTCGGAAGATGCAAACACAGAGCTGACAAGTCCTGCCACAAAGGCCCCCAACTCAATACCTGCCCTCGTGAGCAGAGGAGTGAGCGACAGGTCAGCCAACGGCAGCTAGGGAAGGGCCAGCAAAAGAAGAGGTGCTCCTGTTTCTGTGGGATTTGCGCCCAGAACACAGCAGACCACTTGTGAAAAGCCATGCTCCCACACTGCATGCAGCAGTGCCCACAGCCTCGCACCAGGCTGCTGCTGCGGAGCTGGCCTTCAGGAGCATCTAAGGAAATCGAGAGGTCTTGGCTGATGTTCTAGTTTCAGAGAACATGATGCAGTACCACAGAAAACACACCTTTTGCAGCAGCATTAAGTACGCATTCAGGATGGAAAACATCCAAAATACTGCACGGCAGAGGTTTTACTCTCAGAAAACAGCAACTCTTCCTTAGACAAACTGTGACAACAGTCACCATGTAGTTGAGCCAACACACATATGGATAAGGCAAAAAAGGATTGAGAGGACCACAGCCACCTCTGGGCCTGGGGAGCTTGGCCGCTTTTCAAGGGGCAGGAGATAGCCATTCTCGGGGAGGGACAGGCTGCTGTCGCACTGCTGTGAAGTAACCTCCCCAGACTCTCACTACTTGGACTACAAACCATTTCAGCAAATAACCTCAGCACCCTTTAATAGGTCTGGATAACAAATGACGCTGGAGAATGCTTGCCCTAGAGCTCAGGCTTTGCACGAGGTAAAATTGTATCCCAGGTGTTCGTTTGCCTCCCATCACTGCAGCCTCTCTGGAAGGAGCAGGCTCTCTGCCTCTCGGAGGCACTGGCAGTGACTCCTCAAGGGGCAGCAGTTGCTTTTGTTCCCTTCTGCAGCGTGCCATGATGCTGGCTTGAAGCCAGACTCTTCGGTGTTTGATCAGACTTGCACGCAGGAAACCAGGACCCTTCACAGTGCCAGCATGTAAAGGACTGAAGGACTGAAAGTCCTGCGGGACTAACCCCAACCCGCTCTGGGGACCCTGCATTTGACAGGCAGCCAGCCTGCGAGCTGCGTGTTCAACAGAGCAAAGATACCTGTTTGGGCTGAAATACTGGGCAAGTGGCTCAAAGCACTTTTCCAGCACCTAATTTCCACGTTTCTGCACAGCAGTTGCAGGAGCTCCTGGGAGGAGCTGTGTAATCCCAGCAGGGAAACAGCAAAGCTCGAATTCGCCTTTCTAACATGCAAGGCAGAAGACAAATCTGCATGTGCCCATCACAGTGGCATCGCTCAAGTTACCTTTGGGAGCCTGTCCCACCACCAACAGTATTTGAAAGGCAGCGGGATGTTCATTTTGAACTCTAGCATTTTCCATAATGACAAACCAGAGCGAATGTCCCAGAGCACAGCAGCGCATCAAGCAGCAGCACCCCCAGCCCAGAACACCACGGAGCTCCATCTACCAAAACATTTTGCTTCCAACAGTAGTCAGCACGAAATTCTCAACCTCTTATGCAGGGGAAAAAAAAAAAAAAAAAAAAAAAAAAAAGAAATGTAAAA